GCTGGACACTTTTACTGCAAGTCTGGAGCGTTTCTAGTACTTGTACTCCGTACACCCACGTATCACGTAGACTACACCACTGGAAACGCGTGAAGCGTGTAAAGCTGAAGAAGCTTCAGCCAACGCCATCCGTCGGTTTGTGTCCAACAGTCCCGGCTGGTGAGAGAACGTCTTGGGGCGACGAGAACTGTTCTGCAGACCCGTCAGGACTTGGATCTTTGTGTGGTTGAACTTGAACTGAAGCGCATTAGAGACGCAGAGAGCCCGAGGAGAAGCTGCTCCAGGCTCGGCTGTGACCTCTGACCTGCTTGGAGTTATTTTTAGACACCACAGCAGCTGCAGCCGACGCCTTCACAGGATCATGAATTATTAACGAGCGCACGGCCCAGTCGTGCTCTGAACGAGTCACTTTGTGGAAACTTCTACATTTTCTTTACATTTCAAACAGGAAATGGTTCCGTCTGTTTTGTTCACGTTCACACAACCAGTTCACCCAGTTGGCCCATCGAGTCAGGCCAGCTGGCTCCAACAGCTCGTCTTTCTAGTCAACCTTGATCAGATGAGACCAAAATTAATTCTTTCCAATAATTTCCTTTAATTCCAAAGCTCCACTGACGTCAACCCAATGAGCAGAAACAGCAGGTGAACAAACGTTGAGGAAGTTCCTTCAGAGTCTCAGGTGGTCAGAAGATCACCAGGAAGTCTGACATCATCAAGTAGCTTTCATCCAGGGGGGGGTCTCATGAGGGCAGGCAGGTTGACATGAAGTCAACTTTCATGGTTCCACAGTAAAAGTTCTCAGGATGTGGGTTCCCTCCAGTGGTCATTGACAGGTCTGCCAGCAGGAGCTGCAGAAACATCTGATCATTTTACTGATCAACTAGGAGCATTTGGAAATTACAAAATGTAAACAAACACATAAATATTTGTAAAAGCATCTGATTCTTAAATTAAGGTTAAACTGTAAAAGGACTAAATAAAGATGGTGTGTTGTTTTTATCAACATCATTACAGTTTTACTGCAGTTGTTCCTGGAACCTCAGATCCAGGAGGAACTATGTGAGTTCTGTCCTGGAACACTGGATCAGCTCTTTACCCTCACTAGGGTCCTTCAGGGGTCATGGGAGTTTGCCCATCCAGTCTACAAGGTATTCGACCGTGTTCCTGCGACTCTGCACCTTCTGGGTTTTCTTCATGAGACTGGGTAAAAGTCAACATTTTCAACCATGAACACTTTCAAGCAAAAACAGAACCCGACTGACCCAAGCTCATCGTGAAGGTCTCACTGTGGCTGCAGCAACAAATGGCAACATGAAGAAAGTCCAGGACGTGCTCCGCAGCTTCTCAGCTCAGTACATTTTGTTTAAACAGATAAATGTTCTGGTTGTTTCATTTCTTTCTTTTATTAAGTGGCTTGGGAGATACCGCGGCTCTCCCCTTGACATTGATCCGTCAGGTTCTTTTGAAAAAACTAAACATAGTGAGGATCACTGCATCGTGGGACCAGGCATGAGACTGAAGACCCACATACATCCAGAGTCAACTCCGGTATACAACCATTCTACAACTTTGCTTTGATAATTAATTCCTATTAATTTATTCTTTATCTCATTTCTAACCATCAAGCTTCCAGGAAGCAGATGCTGGATGAGGCTCTGCGGAGTTCATCCTGAAGGACTGCAAGACAAACTTTTTTTTTAGAATAAAAATTTGTAATCAAAAAAAAAAAACACAGTCCAGAAGCATCCTCATTCACAACACGTTCACTTATATTTTCACGTTATGATACATGTTCATATTATTTATTGACTGTATCTAAAAATAAAGATATTTTAAAATTTAAATGGAAATACAAAATAATACAATATAAAATACAATGACTTAAATCATATTATTGTATATAGTAGGTCATCAAACCAGTGTCAGTTGTCTGACAACTAGTTGCCTGTAGTGATCTTTAAGTTCCAGCAGGTGTCAGTATGCAGTGGCACAGTATCAATACAAGATCAATACAGTTTGGTGATGTGTTGAAACGCTTCATCGACCCATCACTAGTTATCAACAAGAAATTAAAAAGGCTGCTGGTGCAGCAAAACTTACAGGAAATCACAAGGAACAGCCGAGACATCACCAGTGGACAGTATTCAATCCCAGGACAAAGGACTAACACAGAGACACAGACTATAGACAGTGACTAACGAGACAAAACACCTGTGAGGACACACAGCTGAAACACATCAGGGGAAAAGACAAACCAGGAAACCAGGGAGTGCAGGAACAGACACACAACAGCAGATGGAGGCATACACTAGGACAACACAAACCCTATAGAAAACAGAAACTGAGGATAAGGACACAAGACATAAACACAACACAAGATGGGGCTAAACACCAGGAAACAAACCATAATCCCTACAATATTTTTATTAATATGTACAAATGTTGAAAGGTACCATTGTAGCTCATCATCTTTCTTCTTTAAACAAAATTAGACCTCAACCTTATTTTAAATCAATTTCAGCTATAAGATTCTCAGCTACTATTACTTTTAAGTAGAAGTATGAGCTTTATGTTGAAAACACTCGGTTTGAACCTCTTCCTGTTTGTCCTTCAGCTTCTTTTGGACTTGGCCGGATTCTGCAGAGGTTTTAATACAACACTTCTCATCGTAAAGGTTCTAACCAAAAAGTTGTTTCTGTAGGATTTATGAGAGCAGCCATGATGGAAAATGAAGCAAAGAACAGAATCTGGGTTATTTATTGGTTGCCATGGTGATTCCCACCTTGTCCACAGTCCCTGGTTGCTATGGCGATTCCCGCCTTTTTTCACCAGACCCTGGTTGCTATGGCGATTCCCGCCTTTTTTTCCACAGTCCCTGGTTGCCATGGTGATTCCCATCTTTGATTGTTTGTGTGATCACCTGTGATTGCTCCCTTGAATTAAAAAAAAAAGTATTTGTTACTGAAACAACAAAAAATAATAATTATCAGTTCAGTCTGGTCTTTATTAAATATTTAAGTTTGTATCACCAGGAGTTTGACGTCAGCTGAACTTTTGTTCCTCGACAGCTTTATTTAAATTCAGATTATTAACTTGTTTACAAACGTCACAGATTAATCACTATTCAACAAAAACATTAATGTGTTTTGTAGTTTTATTTTTATTTTAATACACTATAAAGAACATCTATGAGAAAAACCAATGAAGTAAAACTCACATCACACAATTAAAAATAACAAAAATCCTAAGAATCACTTTTCACAGGCAAAAATTGAGTTTGGATTTTTATGCACAAAAACAAAATTAATTTAAAAACAAAACTTCTACCTAATTATTAATATGCATTCCAATTATTAAAATGTTAAAACACCAAGAATAGAAATGTAAATATAAATACAAGAGCTAATTAAACAGATCTGTTAATTACAGTAAAATACACACATTCTGAAACATCTGACCGGTTCAACAATTTTTACTTTCTACGAAGCTTAAAGAAGAAAAAGCAACAATAAATAAATCAGTTTCAAATAATGACAATAAAAACAAACACTGACATAAATTCAATACATCAAAACCTAACAGAATATTCTTTATGTGGCTAAAACAACACGACTGTTGGTTAAATGTGTGGTTTAGTTCAAGTGAAGAGCTAACGGCTGGTCAGAACACGCGTGTCGTCCTGAAACAGGTCCGGACTCAAAAACGTCATGGTGGCTCACAAAGACTCTGAGAGACGCCACACCGCCCTCAGGTTCACTACTGTGAATTTTGGGATCATCTGTAAGCAGATAGCAGCAGCAGCTAGCTGTAGCACCAGTGTCTGCTGCAGGCAGGGCTCAACTCAAATCATCTCTGCTGTAATTCATTAATGTTTCATTAACTGTGATGGAAAACAACAAATAGAAGTGATTTTATGAACTGCTGCTAAATGTAGAAAACATTTTCTCTGTGTTGACACAGACTGGCCAGCGAATAAACACTGATTTATTATTTATTAATATTACATGATTTATTTACATGATTATTTCTGCAGAAATCTTAAATTCCTGCAGGATTCAGGCTGCACTGAAACAGCTACAGCTAGCTGCTGCCGTAGCTGCTGTCTGTCGTTTAGTTCCATTGAAACAAACATGAAATGAGAAAATGACGATGAAGTTAAGGTTTATCAAGTTTTAATGGAAACTCTGGTCTTAGCCGTGTTTGGACTAGCCATTAGCTCGTCAGTCTGCTCATCTTTCCTCAAATTGAGGTGATTCAAAGAGCCAGTCACAGGTAAGATGTTCACTTTTTATCACTGTTCCATAGAACCCCCCCCCCCAGCCCATTCCATGGGCTTTACAATTAATTTTAACACTAATTTAAAAAAAATCTTTTTACAGCGAGTTTGTTTTAGGTTGGATAAAATCTAAACCAAACTGTAAAGAAGAGACTTTAGTGTGTGAGTGAATATTAAACCAGTCTGAGGTAAAGAACTCGTATAAAAACTGGAGTGGGACTTTTTGTTGCACAAATGTTGTCGCAGCTCTCACAGGTCGGGGTCGTGACCCCGCAGGGTGTTGAACTCTTCGGGAGCTGAATACTTGTCTGCGCCCTGACCGGACGAGTGGCGGAAACCTGCGGAGATCTCCTCGAAGGTGCGGCCCTTGGTCTCAGGCACCTTGAAGTAAGTGAAGACGAAGAAGCCAAGCAGCAGGACGGTGAAGATGATGAAGACGTAGGGGCCACAGAGTTGCTGAGGGGGAAACAAACGGTTTCATTCCTTCACTTTGTGGACAGAAGCTGTTTTATAAAGAAGAGCAGCAGATTAAAGAGAAGTGAACGAGCATTTAGGGGAAAGACAGACCCTGAAATAATTAGACCGGTGTGCTGGTTCGTCTGTCTGTCAGCAAAATATCCCCTGGACCCTGGGAGTCTAAACTCTCAAGACGTGGATCTTTAGTGTTTCCCTACCGTTATATAAGGAGGGCGCCCCGCCTACCGAACTGTCCTACACCGCCCCCACCCCGTCGAAAACTGCCGACACAAACACAAGCACGTCCCTCTACACACATGCACGCGTCAACACATGCACGCGTCAACACATGCATGCATCAACACATGCACGCGTCAACAAAAATCCTTGAAGAGAGGAGCGCCCTGCCAAGAGGAAACACTGTTAAGGATCAAACCGATCCAAAATGGCTGCCACAGCTACAACAAAGTAGCTCAAACTTGGTCAGTTTTACAAAGAACAGGTTCATATTTTGTGTGGTAGTAGCCAGGAGTCATCCTGAACACACACCCTGAGGGCTCACAGGATCGTTGTTTGAAAGGTTGCATGCGCGGTGGAAGCGCTCCTTTTAGTGTTCATGGAGAACTTGACGCTGGTCGCAGCTGCTCACTGGCAGCAACACTCACCTCGACGTACTGGAAACACATCCCCACCAGGAAGTTGGCCGACCAGTTGCAAAAACCAGCAACCGCGATGGCAGCGGGCCGGGGCCCCTGGCTGAAGAGCTCGGCCACGATGAACCAGGGGATGGGGCCGGGGCCGATTTCAAAAAAGGCCACGAAGCTGAAGATGGCCACAATGCTGACGTAGGACATCCACCTGAGCTGGTCCTGAACGGAGAAGAAAGACCGCCGCGGGGGCTCTCAGGTAAACGTTTCAAACGGGTTCTGCAAAGGTGGAGGGAAACACGTACCAGCAGCGCCATGGCAACGGTTAGAAACACGGCTGAAACCGCCATCCCCATCAAACCGACGAGGTGGAGGGGCCTCCTGCCCACGTGCTCCACGATGAAGAGCTGCACAGAAGGACAGAAGGTTCAATGCTCCCACATCCAGATGAGTTTTACCGTTAACGGAGCTTTAGCGACTTACGGAGACCACAGTGAAGATGGTGTTGACCACGCCGGCACCGACCGTGGCATAGACGGGCTGGGACACCCCCGCTCGCTCAAAGATCCCAGTGGAGTAGTAAAACACCTTGAGAGGAGGACATTCAGTCATCTGAGCTCCTTATGAAGTCGTTTACACTTGTTTACTGGAGTGAAGCAGATTGAATTAAAAACCAAATGATCCAGTTTCAGAGGACTCCTCCAGGTGCAGCATTAAGGGACCCCCTCCACTGTTACCACCCACGCTTCAGCTTCACTTCTTGTTTCATGAGCTAGAACTGGACCAGGACTGGGGGCTCCTGGACGCCTCCTTCTAGACATTTTCCTGGCATGAGGAGACCCCAGGGCAGATCTAGAACTCACGCATCTAGTCCTGTCTATCTTTTGGCCTGGGAACCCCCTGGGAACCCTCAGAGGGAACTCAAATTTATGGCTGAGATTTCTTCCTGGACCTGTTTTCTCCAGGACCCAGATAAGAAGAGGACAAATGGACGGACATGATACTACAGTACTGCTGCATGATACTGCAGTACTGTTACATGATACTACAGTACTGCTACATGATACTACAGTACTGCTGCATGATACTACAGTACTGCTACATGATACTACAGTACTGCTGCATAATACTATAGTACTGCTACATGATACTACAGTACTGCTACATGATACTACAGTACTGCTGCATGATACTATAGTACTGCTACATGATACTGCAGTACTGCTACACGATACTACAGTACTGCTACACGATACTACAGTACTGCTGCATGATACTACAGTATTGCTACATGATACTACAGTACTGCTACATGATACTACAGTACTGCTATGCGATACTACAGTACTGCTACACGATACTACAGTACTGCTACATGATACTACAGTACTGCTACGCGATGCTACAGTACTGCTACACGATACTACAGTACTGCTATGCGATGCTACAGTACTGCTACACGATACTACAGTACTGCTGCATGATACTACAGTATTGCTACATGATACTACAGTACTGCTATGCGATACTACAGTACTGCTACACGATACTACAGTACTGCTACACGATACTACAATACTGCTACATGATATTACAGTACTGCTACATGATACTACAATACTGCTACATGATATTACAGTACTGCTACATGATATTACAGTACTGCTACATGATATTACAGTATTGCTACATGATACTGCAGTACTGCTACGCGATACTACAGTACTGCTACATGATACTACAGTACTGCTACACGATACTACAGTACTGCTACGCGATACTACAGTACTGCTACACGATACTACAGTACTGCTACACGATA